CATTCTTCATCACTCAATCAAAATTTGGGTACTTCTACTTTCCTACCCTAAACTCTTTTATTCTCACTAATGATTCGCACATTCTTGTAGCAACCAATCCAAACAAAATTAGCCAGCAAACTTACCACAATCAGTCACCTAACGTAGCTGCTAACTCTAATCACCTAGAGCGATTGCTGCCACACTATTCAACAATGCCTATAAACCACATCTTTGTTCACCTCTGTCATAGCAAATATGCTCTTCATGGTTGCAACACTCTTCTCCACACTACTCTTATGGCAAAATAGGGGTAAGCAGGTGTGCAAAAATAGAGACAATGGGGAGAATGCAGAGAACAGTGGGAAGTTGTCGATAGTGGGGGGACTACGTGCCGCGGTTTCAGCTGGTTCAAATCACTGAAGGGCAATTTCGTGTTTTCACCAGCATTTGCTATTTGCAATTTGAAACCGGGTCTCTCATGGTAATTTGGCTTATTCAGGTGATCATATAGTAATTTTGCTAATTCGAGGGTCTTTATTTGTGATTTTCCCAAACTTAAACCTATATATGCCAATTTTTACCAACTAGTGTTGAACAAGTTTGACCAAATTAAAACAAGGAGAATAAACCTCTTCACTTTCCACGCTAATTGTTGTTATAACAGGTGTAGAAAACATATTCTATATATACATCGGTTTCTTTCGCAACCGAGGTAAAAAAAGTTAACAACATCCTTCTTGTTTATGAAAATACTCTCATATTTTTAACACTATCTCTTAGACTCTTACGTAGAAAGGTGATAGGAATTTAGAGGGCAATTATGTGAAATATCCTGCATGGCATGCAACATCTAAGGAGCACATATGGAAGAAGACAAATAAAATATCTTGTATGAGAGGGCTTCCAATTAATTCATTTTATTTTTATTTTTATGCAATTTTATTATTTAAAGTAGTCATTTTTGTATTTAGTAAATTATTAGGAAGGTTTGATGTATTAGATATATCATTTTAGAAATATGAGTTGCTAAATAGGAATCTCAAGGATATTATCTAATATCTTATTATTATATCCTTGATTTAAATTTGAATAGATGGCAATCTTATGCTTAGAATATTTTTAGATTTTTACATTAATTTTAATATTTAGAATCTCACTAGAGTTAGGAATTTTGTCTATTCAAAGAGTTAGAGTTGAGATTGCAAGGGTCTAATAAATTCTTTGTGGAGCTTTTTTTTCCCCCGTAATTCAGAATATCTTCAAGTCACTTAGGACTTGAGATAAATCTCTATCGAGCCAAGGGCTCAAAGGTTAAAACTCTCCTAATAAGTGCACATCATGAGATTCAAACTTGTGTTCTCCTCTTTATGAGAGTAAGACTGCTTACCATCTTAATCAACAATTTGTTGGTTGTGGAGCCTTTTTATAGCTATTAGCTAATGATCTAGAGACAAGTTCCTCTAGGATTTTATTGATCAACGTTTATTATTTTGAAGTCCCTTTTATTTTGTATTTCTTAGGTGCTGGACGGATCTGTATAAAAAAGCCACCGTAATTTTTTTTTCCTGAATTGGTGTGAGTCAAAAAGTTTGCAAGGGATAAGTTATCCTCAAATAATAAACTGTAGGAAATAATTTTGTTTTCTTGTAGGGAAGGGGTGGTTGGGGTGCGCTACACTCCTCTTGTTTTGTCAGGAGTTTGGATAGCACTACTTACTATAGATTTTGTTATGTTGCTTATGATGGCTTTAAATGTCTTTTAAAAAAGAACCCACATTTCAACATTTTACTTATAGAAATATAAATATTTGAACACATAATTGACTTTTAAAGTTGTCATCACCACTTAAAAATTACAAATATTTTAACAGATTATTGCCTCTAAGCCAACATTACGAGCCACCTCTTTTGCATAAGTTTCCCCACAAGACCTAGGACTAGGATGCATAGTCCGACGAGTCCACAAGTCATGTAAGATGTAGTTAATAATAAATTAAGTGATATTTGAACGGTAGAATACTCAAATTTAAATAAAAAATTCTTAGATATATTTTATTTCTAATTTAATTGATGAATTATAAAATGCATCTCAATTGTCACAATATTATATATATAGTACATAATTAAAATTTAAAATGATCGGATTCTTAAATCTTAACACATGCTAAAACACATGGATTTAAATCCAAATCCAACTTCCCGTTGATAAATATTCAAATCGAAATTTGACTTCCCGTTTATAATTATTTAACGTGGTGTTAACCTCCCCTGACATAAAAGACAAATACCTAAAACTACATATAATTTTTTAACATGAAAAATTGTCACACAAATCGATAGAGGATTCCGCGTCAAATAACCATTTCAACTTCAGAATATTTTAAAATAGGCTCAATTATACAAAACTCCCCTAAATTTTTGATCATGTGCAAATGGCCTCCTTAACCCTTGAAACGTAATAATAAATCTCCATGAGCTGTTAAGTCTAGATAGATAACTAGTATGCACTTATCGTTAATACACCAAATTAGAACTAGCAAGCTACCCTAATATGTATAGGGCTAACCTAGGTCAATCTCTTAGGAGTCCTAAATTACTTGGATTTGGTTTAATTATGGCAACGCTCTAGTTATCAGCGAAGAAGATTGGTTTATCAAATCAAAACTAAGACAATATTAAGCTACTGTTTATGACGATTATTTTATTTTTTTTATTGAGTGAAGCAATGAAATCATATTACAATGAATTATGATAACCCCTAAAAATGAATTTTCCAACCCCTCCTAGTTCAATTATGACTATCAAGTCAGTTAGCAGTAAGTTCTTAATTAGTGCTACTCAAAATACTATTTGAGTCTAGTGAGTAATCCAATTGACAATAGTGGACGCCACTTAGTGAGTAATTCAAATTAAGATTTATGTTGACCTCTTCATTAAGAAATTACCAACCGGTGCATTTTTGTTAAGATAACAATTCAATCACACATCAAGGCAATACAGACTTCATATAAATATTTAATCAAATCCATTCAAATATAACTAGAAGAAGAAGTCATCACAAATTAAAATCCAAATCTTCATTACAAAATAGTCTCAAGAAACATTCAACCACACTACTAAAATTAAATTTCCTAAACCTAAAATCATAGGTCCCATTTGGTAGGAAGTATTGAAAATGAGGGATAAGCATTGAGATTGAAATTAAGAAAAATCATTAAAAAAATATTTAGCATGAGTAATTACTTTTTACATGATATTAGACAAAGCCATAGAGGTGGGATTGGGGAATACCATCTTCCCTATAGTATTCATTGATCCCACATATATGGGTTTATTCAATCCTATGTAATAAGCAACCTCTCATACTAAATACTCTAATTTTAATAGATTTTCTCAATCGCAATCTCAATCCCTACCCCTTATTTTCAATTCATACCAAATAGGATCATATGGTTTGAAAGAAGGAGGAATGAACAAAAGAGACTTCCCCTTGAATAAGATAGGTTGGAAAGCAAGGGAACCAAATACAGAAAAAAGATTGAAAGCAAGAAATCCAAATAGGGAAAAATGAAGGAAAGGAAAAGTAAATATTCCTGGAAAAGAAATTGAAAATCAAATCACTCTTAATCTTCACTTGCCCAATTAATGAAAGCTGTGCAATATGCATGTGTACAGACAGGAGATTTTCATAGCTGACTACTTACCTAAACTTTCACATAGTTTAGTTGATAGTTTTTGTATCTTTAACCACCATCCACCTCTAAACCAGGATGCGGACATTGATGAGAGAAACTAGATGCTTTTGATTGGTGTGTGTAAATTTACCTTTGAGCTGTTAAATTAATGATTTTAGTCTTTTTCATTAAAAAAAAAAAGTTGTGCCACTTGCTCCTTTGTCCCCTATAAGATAAAATAAAACCAAGTGAAAGCAAATGTCCAAAGGAATTAAATGATTAAAAATTAAAACCATTAAAAATACGCAACAAAGCGAGAAAATTTCCAAAATTACCTCTCTTGATACCTGGCCACAAATAATTACAATTATTAATCCAATTAAACCACGATTAGGTGCTAAGAGCCTAGAGTTAATGGGCTGAAACCATGAAAATAATGAGATATATATTAATACCCCAACTATCTATTATATACCACTTTAAACTTTATTTTTTATGTAACTTCGATCGATATGTGAATAATCTAAGTTGTTTGCAGATAAGTAACGTACAAAATTAATTGTATAGGAATTATCTGATAAATGTAAGAGTTTAGGAGGTAAAGTTTCAAAGGGTATGTTATAGAAGTTATCTGTACAAGGTCTAAAGTTCAAGGTATATTATATATACCTCCAATCTTAAATATAAAAAAATAGTTGGAGATTCAATTTGGTTCTAAATATAAAATCTCAATTCATTTTGTCTATCATATTTATTTATTTTTTTAAAAGTAATCTTCATAGTAATTGTACATGATAAAAAGTTTTTATTATAACACACATGATTAACAAGATACTGTAGGAAAGATAACACTCTTTGTTATAAATAACTAATTTAACTAATTTTTTTATCATTTACAAATTAGTTGTCTAGTTATTATATTAAAAATCAGAGCAAGTAGAATTTAGAAATTAAAATAGTATTTGGATGCCTTACTTGTCCCTCGCAGCTTTCTGCTTCTTGATCTAATTCATATCATTCCTCTTCCTATAAATAGAAATCAATCTAGCATCTAAGAAATCAAACTTCTCAGCTTCTATAACTGAGTCACTGTTTAAGTCTCTACAGCTACCAACCTATCAATGGAGAAAGGAAATTATTGCATCGTCATGGTTCCAGGTCCAAGCTTCAACCATCTCATTCCACTCATTGAGTTAGCAAAACGGCTCGTCGTTCACCACCTGACTTCCATGTTATTTTCCTTATCCCCACATTTGGCCCTCCCTCATCAACCACACTTTCCATCCTCCAATCTCTCCCACCAAACATAGACTACACTATTCTTCCACAAGTCAATGAAAACGACATGCCCTCCGCTGCCGTTCATCAAGCAACACACATGCATCTCACTTTGTTATATTCTCTTTCTTCACTTTGTCAAGCTTTGATTTCATTGACGGATTCTCGAACTTATCACCTTGTTGCTATGATTGCTGATGTGTTCTCAGTTGATGCTTTAGAAGTTGCAAAGCAATTCAACCTCAAGACATACGCTTATTGTGCTTCATCAGGTCCTTCATTAAGTTTCTTCCTCAATTTTCCCGAACTTGATAAGGATCTTGAGATTTTTTCCACTGACTTTCGTGAGTTGCAACAGCCTGTGAAACTTCCAGGTTTCAAGCTATTTTTTGTTTCTTTGGCCACCTTGGCTATCTCACTTAGGAGCACTGGGCACTCGAAAGTTTCTTTAGGTTCAATTTATTCCAAAAGTCTAAAATCAGCGTAATGTTACCTCCTATCATTGAACGGTCAACAACACTATTTTAATAGTCAACCTTAATTTAACGATAGAGGGCAATATTGCTATAATTTTAAACTTTTAGGATAAATGTAGGCCCAAAAAAATACTTTTGAATGTTAGCACTCCTGAGTGAAAATTTCTGGATAAATTTGCACATCAACCCTTAGTAAATCAAGTTAAAAGCAATATGTATTACTATTGATATGTTTTTCAGGTTGTGTGGCTCTTCAAGGCAAGGATCTCATTGACTCGGTTCAACAAAGAACAATTGAATCCTACAAAACAATTCTTCATATCAGTAAAGGATTGGATTTGGCAGATGGTATTATACTAAACAGCTTCATGGATTTGGAAAGAAAGATAATAACATCTCTGCAAGAAAATAAGAATAAATACCCTCCTATATATCCGTTGGGCCCTATTTTACAGAGTGAGTTAGCTAGCATAAACGAGACAGCTTCAAAGTGTTTAAAATGGTTAGACAATCAACCACCTAACTCTGTTCTGTATGTTTCTTTTGGGAGTGGAGGGACACTGTCACATGACCAGCTTAACGAGCTAGCCTTAGGGTTAGAGATGAGTGGCCACAAGTTCCTGTGGGCTATGAGGGCTTCAAACGGGTTTGCTTATTCGGCTTATTTGAATGAACAAAAGGAGGACCCATTTGACTATTTGCCAAAAGGGTTTCTTGAGAGAATCAAAGATCAAGGCTTTGTGCTTCCATCATGGGCCCCAGAAATTGAAGTGTTGAGGCACGGGTCAACTCGTGCATTCTTGACTCATGTGGCTGGAACTCTACACTTGAGTGTGTGTTCTATGGCAAGCCTATAATTGTGTGGCCATTGTCTGCAGAGCAAAGAATGAATGCAGTGATGCTGAGTGAGGAGTTGAAGATTGCTGTAAGGCCAAAAGAGAATGCAAATAATGATGGGATTATTGTGGAGAAGGAGGAAGTTTCTAGAATTGTAAAGAGTGTAATGGAAGGTGATAAAGGGAAAGAGATTAATAGAAGAATTCAAGTGTTTAAGGATGCTGCCGCTAAAGCGCTTGGAAAAGATGGTTTGTTTTCAAGAACACTCGCTAGTTTAGCAAATCAATGGAAAAATTCGAATGGCAAATAGAGAAATGAGAGCTTAGTTTCAATGTATATTTTATCGTTATTTCGCTTAGTCGTGCATTTCTCTATCTTTAAAGTTGTTTTTATTTAAGTTTAACGTCATACGATGTTCTTATTTTTATTATTGTCAAAGCCAGGGGATTCATTGCATATGACATTATACTACCCCTGGTCCTTAATATAACAGCTATTTGACTAATTTGAATAGATTAAAAAGTTTATTAAGTTAATTACTCCTTCGATCCTAAATATAAGACCCTTATCCTAGTGTGTAGGGTGTATAAGGGTCTTATATTTAAGACTGAAGGAGTATTTGTAATAATTAGGTGTTATCTTTCCTAGAATATTGTTACTAATTAATCATATGTATTAGCTAGAACTATTATTTGATGAAACTTTTAATATGTACAACTACTACAAGAACTATTTTTTTAAAATGAATAAATATGAGAGACAAAGTGCCTATTTGGTTGAGCAGTGAGAGCTTAAATAAACCTGTTTAAATCTAAATAAGTGATTATGAAGCAGGTTTATCCTGTTTAAGTAATTTTTATAAAATCCTGATAAAATGTGATTTCATTCTTTCACTGCACCTTTAGGATAAGTATCTAGGAGTAGCTTATGTGTTTGAAAAATCCTGATAAATTTTTATCAACTGAATTTTCTCTAATTTACCTTTCACACTCTTCCGAGCATCTCTTCCCAAATGATTATATTTAATAATATTTATTAAACTCATGTCTTTTTGGTAATTATGCATCCATAAATGATTTTAATAAATGAAAACTAAACATAATCACAATTCTTAAAGTCACTTATAAAAGAAACATATCCAAACAAAAATCATGATTAACCAACATCACTTATAGCCACTGTCACTTATAAAAATTTACCGTTATTTAAAATCACAGTTATTCATTGCTAATCCAAATGGGTACAAAGTGGATTGTGATCTTATATTTAGAAATGAATTGAATGTCAAACTAGCTCTTATATTAAAAACTGGAGATGGTAGGTTGTACATTCATGGCCCTGAGGCTTGAGCTTACCCTTACCCTAACCCTCCCAGTTTCCCTCCTCTGATCTGTCCCAACTAGGATGCTTCTAGCTTTAGAACCAACGGATTTAAAGGTTAATTTTTCAAAATCCTTTAAGTATTTTTTGTTTATTTAAATATATATATATATATATATATATATATCTCATTACTAACCCCTGCACCTTTGTGAGAAACGAATTGCATACTATTCTTCATACATCTTTACTTAAGTTGTCTAATCTTTTTGATACATTTCATATCTATATTTTAATTTTTTTAATTAAAAATATAGGATGAATTTAGAAAAATGATAGAAAAAGAAATTGAAAATTACAATATTATAATTCAGGCTGTCAAAATCCCAAGGGAGGAAGTGGTGCCTAATACAGTATTTTGCAAATATAGTTGAATGACAAAAATGACCTTGTATAAGATTTTTTTTTTTTTTAAAAAAAACTATCAAAGTTACAATTGCCAGTATATTTCTTTTTAATGGTTGTTCAATACTTGTCATTATTAATTTACAACTTCTTAACAAATAACTTGTTATTGCTAATACATTTTTTATCATTTGTTATTTAATGCTTGTTATTACTAGTTTAAAACTTATTAATAAACTTTTTGATATAATGATATTTTTGTTATTTAACTACATTTGTAAAATACCAGATCAGGCATCACTTCCTTTTCTGGGATTTTGACCTCTTAAATGCTTGAATTAGAATATTGCAATTTTCAACTTCCATTTTTCCATAATTTTTTTGGAATTTTATAAGACAAAACATCTACATTTCAAAAGATGAAGAATTATATGTATTTTATTTCTTGTGTTCTTCCAAATAAACAAATAAATAAAATTTATATTTATATTGTGAGAATAATATGCGCGTGCACGCGCAAACATGTTCAAAAAGCATAAACATATCAGACAATATGTAATGAATGGGCCTTGCATTAATAAGGAACAAGAGGAAACAGTTATTGGGCCAATAGATGTTACTATTGGGCTTAAAGAGGGTGGGCTAATTTGGAGGGACTAGGGTATACAGTGGAGCAAGATGAAGGTATGGAGGCAGTGAAGAATATCGTCAAGCGATCTCCCTCTTTGGCGTCTATCCTTCTCCCTGTGACCGTCCTTTTCTTCTGCTTTCCTACTTACCTCTGAATTTCCTTTTCCTGCTGCGGTGTCCTTCTCTTCTACTGTTCTGGACTTCATTATTATTATTTTGCTTGTAGTTCTGGAACCATATTACAGATATGGATGTCAATTTATGTAAGTTTTATCCATTAAGTTGCTATATTATAAAAAGTGATCATAACACAATGTGATCCAATTTTTTTTTTTTCCCCAGTCTGATGGCATATGATAAAATATATAGAAGCGTTGTTTTTCAGGTAAAAGTCTGTGATCTCATCTCGATGAAGAAAATATTTAAATCACAACAGGTTTTGTACTGGCTGGTTTTCCACTAGCCATGCCTTTAATTTGAAACTCGATAAGATAAAGCTTAGAACAAGGTTACTAATCAATTTGCACAAAATAAGATGGCCCAAACATAAAAGCAGTCAGAATTTTCACTATATTGAGAGGGAAAAAAACATATTTGCAAAGATTTACATATAGGGTTGAGTTATTGGAAATGATTGAAAAGTAAAAACAAGATATAATAGCATGTAATACACAAAACTTAACGTGGAAAGACCCCTATATTATATGTCCAAAGAAAAAAACTAAAAGCAACGAGCCAAAAGTTGTACTATGAACAACAACCAATTAAATTACAATATAAATCCGTCATTTTTCTAATAACAGAAAAACTATATATATATATATATATATATATATATAGAATGATGAATCAAGGTTTGGATTCTTAATGGGAGATATCCCCAGATTTAATACCTAACAGTGTTTCAAACACGACTACCTCTAATAGAAGAATATCTATGCTTAGCAAAATATTGGCATCTCAGCTCCTTCATAGGTTTTAAGTAATTTGATTTCGTCCATTGTCTCAAGCTCTTGGCTTGCCCTTATAATAAGAATGTATAAAGTATCTTACAATCTTATAAAATGTTTTCTTGTATTGCAAAGCAAGCAAGTATTGAATATTTTTTTAACATTACTGTCGTCTATATCGCCACCAAATTTAATAATCAATGCAAGAGAGAATATATCAAGTCCAACCCAAAAAAAAAAAAAACAAAGAAAGAAAGTCATGGTAACGCACCAATTCGAGGCATACATTCCGATAAGATATAGTTGTTGGCTAGCAATTGGAAACGAATATCTATCATATCTTCATCTGTTGAACATATAATATTCCTAGTGGCAAAAAATAAATAAATAAATATAATATTGCCCATGTTAGGGGATTTTACACGTTTACGAGGTCAACGGACAAAAAATGTTTAGTCCACATGGACTCAACATTTTAATATGTTCAAAATATTTTTAATAGAACCTATCAATTTTTCAAACAACAAATTATGAATGTAGTGGGCCTCTCTCAGCATTAAAGACAAAAGATGCTAGCATAAAAAATGAGCAGCATCAAATTGCAATTTATAAATCGAACTACTCTTAGTATAATTAAACAAGTTTAGAACACTAGTTGAGATAAAGAAAACTATATTTGCTTTAATTACTCCTATAAATAAAAGTACTTAAGAGGAAGTATTTGAAGCGACATCCAGAATATCAATCATTCATGGAGAAAAGAAATCCTTGCATCGCCATGGTTTCATGTCCAGGCTTTGGCCATCTCATCCCAGTCGTAGAGCTTGCAAAACAACTTGTCATTCATCCTCACTTTCATGTCACGCTCTTCATCCGAACACTTGGCCCTCCCTCCACAACCACCTATTCAATCCTCCAATCTCTTCCCCCTCACATAGACTTCACTATTCTCTCACAAGTGAATCAAAACAACATCCCTCAAAGTGCTGTCCACCCGACAACACAAATGCATCATACTGTCATGCTCTCTCTTTCATCATTTCATGATGCTTTGAACTCATTAAAATCTCAAGATCATCACTTTGTTGCTATGATTGCGGATTTCTTCTCAGTGCATGTGTTACAAATTACGAAGCAATTCAACCTCAAATCATCCGTCTATTATGCTTCAGGAGCAACTTCACTGTTTTTCTGCCTTAACTTTTTCCAACCAGATAATGATCATGACATTGTTCTCTACAGGGTTTCGAGAACTATCACAACCTCTGAAACTCCCAGGTTTCATAGCTTTTATCTTCTGCTTTAACGAAACTAATAATATCTATCAAAAATAAAACTAATGGAACTTCCTTTTAGGCTGCATAGCTTTTCTTGGCAAGGATCTTCCTGACACAATTCAGGAAAGATTTAGTGCATCCTACAAAACAATTTTGCACATCTATAAATAGTTTGATTTTGCTGATGGTATCATAGTGAATAGCTTTCAAGAATTGGAACAAGAGGTAATAACGGCTCTACAAGGGAGTAATCATAAATACCCACCCATTTATCCATGGGGCCCTATTTTAAAAACCGAATTAACTAGCAAAAATGAGTCAAATTCGAAGTGTCTAGTATGGTTGGACAATCACCCACGAAACTCAGTTCTCTGTCTCTTTTGGGAGTGATGGAACACTGTCACTTGAACAACTTCATGAACTTGTTCTAAGGTTAGAGATGAGTGGCCACAAGTTCTTGTGAGTGGTGAGAGCCCCAAATGAGTCTGCTTCTTCGGATTATTTGAGTGCAAAAAAAGAGGGCCCACTTGATTATTTGCCTAAAGTTTTCATTGAAAGAACCAAAGACCAAGGCCTTATGGTCCCATCATGGGCCCCACAAATCCAAATCCTGAGACACGAGGCCACTAGTGGCTTCTTGACTCATTGTGGTCGGAACTCCACGCTTGAGAGTGTGTTCTATGGCAAATAGCCAATGATTGCGTGGCCACTATTTGCAGAGCAAAGAATGAACGCGGTGTTGATAACTGAGGAGTTGAAGATTGCTCTGTGGTTGAAGAAAGATCATGATAATAACAAGGGAATTGTCAGGAAGGAGGAAGTTTGTAGGATTGTGAAGAGAGTAATGGAAGGTGATGAAGGCAAAGAAATCAACAGAAAAATTCAGGTCTATAAGGATGTTGCTACAAAAGCACTTAGTGACGATGGTTCCTCAACTAAGACCCTCTCTTGCTTATTATCTGATCTCTTGAATGGAAAATGATTTAATTCGAATGATCGAGTTGTGCCAATAACAAATGCTTGAGTTTGATTTGTATATGTATTATATACAGATACTGTATGTGTGGGTGAGTTCTCACGCTAATGGCCAAGATTTTAGAATTATATATATGGAACTAATTCTATTAGTTTACTGCTAGTAAAATTACTGATTGAATTTCATTGTAGATGATGATATCTATACAGATGGATCTTATATATATCGTACAATGAAGTACCGCATGAGTGGATATATAGGAATCAAAATCTGCCGAATCACTCATGTTATGATCTTCTACATCCTAGGTCTTCCCGTTCCTTCATCTGGTAAGATCCATTCCCTCTCCTTCCTTCTTTTCCATATAATTCTGGTCGTTGAACCAGACGCACCCTTGCAATTCAATGCATTTGTGTGTGTGTTTAAATTTACAGTAATAATTAAAAAAAAGTTTTGAAATGAAAAATACCTATGAAAATATATGAAAGAACTTTTTTCGAGTTCAAATCTACCAATCCAAGTTTAAAAAGAGTACAATAATGCCGGCATCATTAAAATTAACCAATGTCCATTTTCTTCGTTGTGGGACCCATGATTTTTTTTAATAAAAGTGTCAAAATACCCTAATTAAAACAAAAAAAGTTAATGTAAAAAAATACATATGAACTTATACCAAAAATTCACCAAACACCATATAATTTTTATGGAAGTACTTATAAATCTTGTAAGGGAGTCGTCTAATTTAATAGTTATGCCAATAAATCTCTTTTAGTCTCGTAATGAACATGTAGGAATACTTTTTTTGTTCTATTTACAAAGTAAAGAGAGAATATTCTGTCCGTTTGGTCCATAATATAAAAGAATGACTTGGTCTAAAATATAAGTCACTTAGAGAGTAATTAATGCTCATTTGTCAATTTTATCCATGCAATTAATGCTTAAATATAATTTCTTGTATTTTTTGTATTCTTCGTAATCTTATTTAATATGGGTATTGAAAAATATTTTCAATTCAAAACATATTTGATGAATTAATTACCATTTTTTGATATTGATAAATTAGTTAAAATGATTTATATTGTAGACCAGAATGAGTATAAATTTGGATTCTATACACAAGACAGCTGATGTAATTTTTCATGTAAATGTACGAATTTGTCCTTATTAAATTATTGGTACTTGTTAATTCATCCCTCAATTTTGTCTTCTTCCCATCCCTTACTTATTCTTGTCTCTTCATTTATAAAGTACTCTTTCAAAATTTTGCTTCGCTGAGAATAGATTCATGCACAGCATTACTTTAAACATTGATTGATTGGTTCACTGTCTTTAAAATTAAAAATAATTCGTTGATAAAGGGACATAATAATGCATTTAACTTCCTTTTTATTGGCATTTGTCTGTGCCAAGTGAATTGTAATCTACTGGTCCTATTTATAAGTCACTTCTAACATATTCTTCATAGACCAAGAAAAACCTTAAACTTCATTTACTTTCATTTAAAATTCAACAACTTTACAACTTTATCCTTATTTAATATATATTATATCTCGTATAAAAAAAGTCAACATAATAATAAATAAGGAATAAAATTGTACATTCATGCAAAAAATTTCTCTTAGTAGCCTATAAATAGGACAAAAAAATATTTTCTCTCTCTATCTTATAAATAGGACCGGAGGAGTATTTATTTACTTCCAGCCATCAATAAATGCAAATAAAATATTTAATATTTTCAGTATTTTTATTTTTAAAGCATTAAATAGTAAAATTAAGAAGCTTTTAAATTTTAAGGCAGAGTATTAGAAATTCCTCTTAAATACCACTCCGTCTCTTATTATAAGATTCAATTTTTTGAATGGTTATGTCCCTTTTTATAAGATTCTCTTTGAGTTTGTCTAAGCATTTAATGTATTATTACCTATTTTATCCTAATTTAATGCATCTAATACATTCTCTGTATTCATTTACCTCACTATTATTTTATCACATTTACCCATTTATATATAAGGGTATATTTGGAAAAAAAATGCATTTGTTACATATTACTTGCTTTTAACTAATTTTAACTATTTTCTTAAACCGCACAACTTAATTAAAAAGATCTTATAATAAAGGACGGAGGGAGCAGCATGAGAGGAGCAAAAGCATTTATTGGATGAAAGCTCATCAAATAATGTATAGTTGGCACTTTTAATGCGTTATAATAAATGTCATACAGAATACTCCTTCTTGTCCTTATCATGAGAGTCCTTTTAGAGGAAATGAATGTTATAATATATTTTATATAGCCATATTTAATGAGGGTAGTGAGAGAATATAAATTAATGTGATGTTAGAATTTAGTATAATTAATAAGAAAAATATTGAAAATTACTTGAATTTTATGGCATATTCATTGATTTCAATTAATTGTATGGGCATGCGTGAATTAGTTAAAAGGTTCTTATCATGGTTATCAGAATCGTGCGATTCGGGATACGAATCGCACGATTCCTTACAAAATTTGCATTGGGAGATATGAATCTCCCAGTGTATCTTCAGTGCATTAGTATCGTGGCCTGAATCGTGCGACGTATTCTGGGCAACGTCAGGTTGCGCAAATCCGACCCGAATCTATGCGCGACTCGACACGATGAAACCCCCCATTTTCATTTTTTTCTTTTTTTTTCTAGTTATATAAGGGAAGTAACTGCCAAACCCTATTTTTTTTATTCCCCTCTTGCTCTTCTTTTTACGTTTTACTCCATATCTTGTGCCCTATGCCAGTTGCTTTTTTTTTTTTTTTCTCTTCTACCGGTTCCATGCGGCTGAAATTTGGAAGCTTTGAAGTTTGAATATTGAAGTCTTCTCCTTTGCTGGTTCTTTCTCTAATCTTTTACTCCTATTTGATAATTTTTTTACTCTATTTTTTATTGGATATTATATTGGTGGGAAAAATGAGTCAGAATTAGAATAAGAAAAAAAAGGAAGCTGACATTACATGGAAACATTGTGAAAGTGTTCCTCCCCATAGACTTATGGTTAAATGCAAATACTGTTCACATCAATGTTGGGGTGGGGTAGCCTGGATGAAACATCATTTGGCTGGAACTAGAGAGAATGTGAGTCCCTGTACAAGTGTTCCTGATGAAGTTAAAAATTTATTTGTTAAAATGCTAGAAGATAGAGAAAAAATAAAGATGCGTAGTGTTGAAATATTTAAAGAAGCAACTGCTCAAGATGCTAAGGGGAAGGAAAGGACATCAAAAACTATCAAACAGAAAACGATGAATGAGATGGTAAAAGATAGAGAGTTAATAATTCAAGATATTTGTAAATGCATCTATGGTAATGCTTTACCATTCAACTTGGTAAGAAGTCCACTGTTTATTCAAATGTTAAAATCTATTGGTGAATATGGTAGGGGTTTGAAACCTCCAAGTTATCATAAGGTGAGAGTTTCTCATTTGAAAAAAGCTGTTGATAAAATTCAAGAAAGTTTAGTGAAGTATAAGAGGGAATAGGAGAAATGGGGTTGTACTTTGATGTGTGATGGTTGGACTGATGGTAAAGGGAGGTCTCGTACTAATTTTTTAGTTAATAGTCCTGGTGGGACTGTTTTCTTAAAGTGGGTGGACACAAGGAGTGTGATTAAAGATGCTAAACAAATGTTTGAATTACTAGACAATATAGTTGAAGAAATTGGGGAGGATAATGTGGTGCAAGTTGTGACAGATGGTGCCTCAAATCTCGTGGCAGCAGGGAAGATGTCAGAAGAGAAGAGAAAAAAATTATTTTGGTCCCCTTGTGCAGCTCATTGCCTTGATTTAGTCCTTGAAGACATTGGGCAACTTCTGATATTTTATAATACCATCACCACTGCGAAGAAAATAACAACATTCATTTATAGGCATACGTGGGTCCTTAACTTGTATAGAAAATATTCCAAAGGAAGAGAATTAGCTAGACCAGCAGTGACAAGATTTGCAACAGCTTATCTTACACTAAGTTGCATATTGCAGCAAAAGAATGCTCTTTGAACCATGTTTGCTTCAGATGATTGGGTTTCTAGTTCTTTTGCCAATAAAAGTGAGGGTAAGCAAATGGTAGACATGATTTTTGGGGATTCTAGATTTTGGAGTCCCATCAAATATTGCTTACAGCGTGTGAGTCCACTTGTAAAAGTTTTGAGACTTGTAGATGGTGACTCTAAACCTGCTATGCCATATATTTATGAAGCAATGGATAGAGCCAAAGAAGAGATTACTGACAATTTTGAAAAGAAGGAATCAAGGTATAAAAAGATATGGAAGATTATTGATACTCGTTGGAATTTACAACTACATAGACCCCTTCATGCGGCTGCCTACTTTCTTAATCCTAAGTAAGTTTTATACAATTTAAAGTTTATAAGTTTAAATATTTATTATTAATTGTATGTTAGAAAAAGATAACTTATTCATTATTTTTTAGGTTCCATTATGATGAAAAATTTAATGCGGATCAAGAATTCTATTTTGGTTTATATGAAACTATTGAGAAAATGATTCCAGATAGGAAGACAAGATTTTTAGTTGATCAACAGCTTGAGGCATTCAAGTCTGCCAAGGGACTTTTTGGAAGGAGCATGGCAATAGATACTAGAAACAAAAAACAACCCGGTATCGTTCTCTAGTCTATACTATTTATAAGAATTTAATTTTTAACCTTAATAATAAATCTGAATTTTGAAAAACATTCCTAATTATTTTTTTAGCTCTTTGGTGGGAAAGTTATGGAGGAGAAGGCAAGGAGTTACAAAAGGTAGCTATGAGAATTTTGAGTCTCACATGTAGTGCTACTGGATGTGAAAGAAATTGGAGTACATTTGATCAAGTGCATACTAAACGAAGAAATCGCTTAGAACAACAAAGGTTAAATGCACTTGTATTTGTTAAGTACAACCTTCAACTTGAGATGAGACAAAAGATTAGAGAGGAAAAAGGACAGACATATGATCCAATTTGTTTATCAGATATTGAATCTGATGATGAGTGGATCACTGAAAAAGAAAACCCATGCTTGCCAGTGGATGGGTCATGGATGGACATACATGAGAGTTTCACTCTTGATGAAGGAGCTCCAAGCAAGAAAAGAAAGAGAGGTATAATATTTTAAAACTAAACATAAGTTGATTTTAGTTTAAATATATAAAATCATACTTATTTAAGCTTTTTGTTTTTCCCTTAGGTCCAAGAAATTTGAATGCCAAAACGAGTAGCAAAGGGAAATCTATAGTGGAACAAGAGAATGAGAATGAAGATAATGTTGAAGATGGGGAAGAGGAGGACGATGAAGAAGTGACATTATTAATGGAGGATGATCATGAATTGAGTGACATTGATCTTGGAGATGATGAATGATGAATTGAATTTTATGTTTAGTGACTTTAGTCTTTTTAAGTTAGGAGTTTGGTTTTTGATTGATTTTGGGGACTATTTATGTTTAAAATTTCATATGTTGGCTTTTTTTTTTTGGACAGTTTATAGTACCTAATATTTACAAACTTCTAATATTTTTTCATATGAAAATTACTTATATATTATCCTTAATAATTGTTCATGAATCTTACGATTCGCGATACGGTATGATTCAAAATTCATAAAACCGGCTTTCCGATACACCATTCATATCTCGATTTGATAACCATGGTTCTTATGATATAGACCAAAGGGAGCATTTTTAGTTTCAAATGAAAAAAACGATTAAGGATTTATATTTCCAACTCCATCACATCTGCATACACTTACCATCTACTTCCTCCGTCCCTTATTATAAGATTTTTTAACTAAATTACGCGGTTTAAAAAAATAGTTAAAATTAGTTAAAAGCAATTAATATGTAGCAAATGCAAATTTTTTTCCAAGCATACACTTATATATAAATGGGTAGATATGATAGAGTAATAGTGAGATAAATGAAGAAAGAGAATGTATTAGATGCATTAAATTAGGGGTAAAATAGATAATAATGCATTAAATGCTCAGATAGATTCAAAGAGGATCTTATAAAAAGGAACATATCTATTTAGAAAATTAGATCTTATAATAAGGGACGGAGGAGTATACTAACTTTTCTTTGAGAAGCCGAGGAAATTGTTGACTTATTTAAACAGATAACTGATGATATTAGCAAATGACATTATAAACAACGCCGTTTATTTAATAATTATTCTGATGGCCTTTATTTATAAATTACTTTTAACCTTTTGGTACGTTACTTAAATCAATAAAAATCTTAAACCTCATTAACTAATTAGTTTTAAAATTTAACAACTTTCATGATAGAAATTTAATAATATGATTATTTAATAGGATTAAATAAAATCTTTCCTATCTGCCTTATACTAATAGGATATAAGAGTATGGCTATAAACCTCATAATATTGTAATGATGTTGTTTTTACCATATCATTTGCTAATATTATCAGTTACGTCCAATTTCTCTCCTATTTAATTAAGTCAACAATTTACTATAGGCTTCTCGAAGAAAAGCGGATAAATGTTCACCAACAATAAACTAATAATGCACAAAGGAACAAAAGCATTTAATGGGTATAATGAATATGAAGTTTCATCCAGCAATGCATAAGTAAGACTGAGAGTTTGCGAAAGAAAAGTGAGAGTTTTAAATAAAATATAAATTATAGAATATTTTCCGTTTCAGCTGAAAACAATAAAGGATTTATATTTCCATTCCCACCACTAACTTTCTTCAAGAAGCCTAGGAAATTGTTGACTGATTTAAAGAGAAATTGAATACTCTTTTAGTCCTATTTATAAGGTACTACTAACATGTTTCATATAGACGAAGAAAAAATTTAAACTGCATTAACTCTTTTTTAAAATATAATAACTTTTCAACTTTACTCTTATTTAATATATACACGTTTCAAAAAAATAACTATCTACGCTATAATAAATGAAGGACAATATAGTACATTCATGATAAAAATTTAATGAAGTGACTTATAAATAGAACCAAAAAAACTTTCTCTTTCTGTCTTATAAATAGGGCCAGAGGAGTATAACTGATGATATTAGCAACTGATGACATTGTATTACAAGATTTATAGGATAATAACTGTTAAACGGCTCATTACAAGATTCATAAAATAAAATAAGATAATTCTAAAGAAAACTATATTTTCATTAATTTCCAGTTAACTCTTATTTTTAAAAGTATATAGATTGGTCTCGAAGTTAAGAGGAAGCATCTGAAAGAATCCATCGACCATCAATTATCCATGGAGAAAAGAAATCCCAGCATCGCCATGGTTCCTTGTCCAGGCTTCGGCCATCTAATCCCACTCATAGAGCTTGCAAAACGACTTGTTGTTCATCTTCCTCACGGCCACGTCAATCTCTTCATCCCAACCCTTGGCCCTCCTTCCACAACTACCTATTATTCCATCCTTCAATCACTTCCTCCCCGTATAGATTACACTAGTCTTCCACAAGTGATTTAAAACGACGTCCCTCAAACTGCCGTCCATCCAGCTACACAAATGCATCATATTGTCATGCTTTCTCTTTCTTCACTTCGTGATGCTTTGAGCTCATTAAAATCTCAAAGTCACATTGTTGCTATGATTGCCGATTTCTTCTCAGTGGATGCGTTACAAATTGCTAAGCAGTTCAACCTCAAATCATATATCTACTATTTTGGAGGAGCTACGACATTGTGTTTTTGCCTTAATTGTCCCCAACTTGACAACGATCACGACACTGTTTGCACAGGGTTTCAAGAGCTATCACAACCTTTGATAAAGTAGAGACGCTTGTATATTTGTTAATTATTAATTGGGAAGGAATATCTCATATCTTCGCTTGTTGCAATATTATATTGGTCAAGTAGTAAGGAAAAACTTCCGGCTCACGAGCTCGACATATCAAGAAAGCTCCAAGTCCACAGATAGTGAAATTACTTAATATGATTTTGATAGCCTTTCACAAACCGACATAAAAATCAACATCAACTGGCAATTTATACATTGAAATACTCTTACTAATTAAACAAGCTTAGAAGAATACTAATTGAGATAGTTAATATACCTCTTCTCCTTAATATAATATCTACTTGACTAATTTAAGTAGATTAAATAAAGTAGTTAAATTAGTTATTTATCAAAAATATGTGTTAGTTTTCTTAAAAAATACCTCGTCAAATTATTTGGATTGAAACTATCCTTTGATTCAAACTCCCTTAACATATATACAATCAGTAGGCTTAGTTTGGATAAATAAAAGGAGTATAAAATATATTAGAGTCTTATATTTAAGACCAAATTTAATTCCCTACTAATTTTTATCTTAAGTACCCGAGGTAGTAATAAAAACTATATTTACAACAATTTTCCTGTTGAACCATATGTGTAAAGGTGTACATAATATAGAGTCTCAAAGTTAAAAAGAAGCACCCCTTGATGAAGCAACCAGCTGATTATCGATCTTCCATGGAGAATAGAAGTCCCTGCATCGCCATGGTTCCATGTCCAGGTTTCAGCCATCTAATCCCACTCGTACAGCTTGCAAAACGACTAGTCGTTCATCGTGCTCACTTCCACGTCACTCTCTTCATCCCAACACTTGGCCCTCCCTCCAAAACTACATATTCCATCCTTCAATCTCTCCCTCCTCACATAGATTTCACTATTCTTCCACAAGTGAATCAAAACGACATCCCTCAAAGTGCTGTCCATCCAGCAACACAAATCCATCATACTGTGATGCTGTCTCTTCCATCATTTCAAGATGCTTTGAGGTCTTTGAATTCTCGAACTCACCTTTTTGCTATGATTGCAGATTTGCTATCAGTGGATGCATTAGAAATGTCCAAGCAATTCAACCTCAAGTCATATATTTACTATGCTTCAGGAGCAACTTCGTTGTGTTTCTGCCTTAATTTTCCTGAACTTCACCAAGATCACGACAAGGTTTCTACAGGCTTCCGAGAGCTATCGCAACCTTTGAAACTCCCAAGTCACAAAGCTTTCTTTTTCTTTCCTGCTTTAATGAAACTAAATAACTATCAAAAATTAACTCATGGAACTTCATTTCTGCAGGTTGCATAGCTTTTCATGGGGCAAGGATATTCCTGACATAGTTCAAGAAAGATCAAGTGAATCCTATGAAACAATTCTTCACATCTGTAAACGGTTCAATTTTGCAGATGGTATCATAGTGAATAGCATCTTAGAACTAGAACTAGAGGTAATAACCACTCTGCAAGCAAATTATAATCATAATACCTTACAGTTTGTCCTTTGGGCCCCATTTTATAGATAGAATTAGCAACCGCAAGCATGTTAGCCACCGATTGTTTAACATGGTTAAACAATCCGCCACAAAACTCAGTTCTATATATCTCTTTTGGGAGTGGTGGATCACTGTCACATGACCAACTTCGCCAACTCGCCTTAGGATTAGAGATAAGTGGCCACAAGGTTTTGTGGGTTGTGAGAGCTCCAAGTGAGTTTGCCTCTTTAGATTATTTGAGGGCCAAAGAGGAGGACCCACTTGATTACTTGCCAAAAGGGTTTATTGAAAGAACCAAAGATCAAGGTTTTGTGGTCCCATCATGGGCCCCACAAATTGAAATCCTAAGACACGAGTCCGTTGGTGGGTTTCTGACTCATTGTGGTGGGAACTCCACGCCTGAGGGTGTTTTCTAAGGCAAGCCCATGATTGCATGGCCAATGTTTGCAGAGCAGAAAATGAACACAGTGTTGTTAGCTGAAGAATTGAAGATTGCTGCAAGGCCGAATGAAAATAATAATAATAATAATGGAGTTGTGGCGGAGAAGGAGGAGGTTTCTAGAATTGTGAAGTGTGTGTTGGAAGGTAATGAAGGGGAAGAAATCAGCAGAAGAATCCAAGTGTTTAAGGATGCTGCTGTTAAAGCAATGGGAGAATATGGTTCTTCTATGAAGACGCTCAATAGTTTAGCATTCGAAATTTTGAATTGAATAATCTTAAATAGTGGCAAAAGTAGAAAATGCAAGTCTTTAATTTTAATGTATTTTATTGTTAATTATATATTTTTGTTTAGTGGCGTAAAGATAAGGCTATAAGTAAGACTTGTGTCAGCCTCCAACAAAGTTGTAAGATTATATATATGCTGCCCCCAAAACTACTTAACTAATTTGAGTAGATTAAGAAAATGAATCAAGTTAGTTATTTGTAATAAATATGAGTTAATTTTTCTAAACTGACTTTTTAATTATCACCATCTTGAGATGAAAACCCCTTGACATGTGTAATTAATAGGGATACTTTAGAGAATGAATTACAAATTTGGAAAATAAAGTAGATTGGGATATTATATTTAAGACCAAATCTAATTTCCAACTAACTATTATATTAAGTACCCAGGCACCGTTCGCATAAGCATGCCCACATAATTTCTTTATTCCACGTTCAAATCAAAAGAACACATGTTCAAGCAATATTACAGTTGAGGTAAAATTAAAGAGATTAATATTAAAATTTTTTTAAAATAATCTGAGTAAGAGATGATAGTCTCCTTGCTTGATTAGCATAAAGAATCTATCAAATTTGCAATATTTTAAACATAAATCAGTTTGATTATAAATGTTTTTCGTGGATTGTCATCTTATTCAAACATAGTACGCGCAAGTTTATTTTTTATCCTATCAAATTCAAACAGAGCTTGTCATAAACTGTACGCATGCCAACAGTATTTCATTTTTCTTCATCCAAGAACATATGCTTTAAGAAATTCAAGCATTTGAGCATTTCCAAATAAAGGGATCCATTGTTTAGATATTAAAGAGATCTATAATTAAAACTTATACTTTAATGTGTGTGTCTCTATGACATTTAATAAATTCACCACAAAATTAAACAAAGTTATATTTGAAATTTTCGATTTTCAAATTTTTATTTTTAAATTATGTATAATCACTTTTAAATTTTAGATTATATAATATACATAAAAATTTAAAATTATAATTCTTAAATAATTTTTTTCATATATACTTCAATATTTCACAAATCTCTCATGAAAAAAATATGCACGCATATAAAAAAAATGTTTAGAGTTAAGTTGGATTTCTAATTCTATATTATTTTTAAGCGAAATGATCAGCTTCAGTTTTTCCCCCATTAGTGAATAAAAAAATTATACATAAGGCCCTAAAAGATTACATATAATTGACTGATTAAAAAATCATTAACAATTAAACTCTAACTGACTAGTATGCATCTATATCTGCCACTCTATTACCATGTGTAAGTTACTTATAGGAGAAATATTTATTCCTAAATAAGTCATTTGTTAGGTAATTAATCACCCCTTTTTTTTCCCAATTTCATCTTTATTGAATACAATAAATAAAAGAGGTAAGAGAAAATGTACAGCATATATTTTATACCCTATCTTTAATGGGGACAATGTGAACATTTTTATCAATTTATAATACATTCCGTCATGTGGGAAAATGAGGTCCAAGTGACTTACATACCACTAAATTTGTTCATATATACAAGTCACTAGTAGGAAAAAAATATGTTTTTAAATATAAATCACTTGTACGGTACGTAATTGATAATCTTTTTTTTTCAAATTCATCCCTATTGAATACAATTAAAAAAAATAGGCTAGAGAAAATGTATGACGTATTTTTTCAACACCAATTTCTTCAATAGAAGCTAAGTGTGTGAAAGTTTTATCAACTTAATGCATTATTGACGAGAATGGGATACAAATGAGCTATATTTGTGGGAGTAAAGTAATCCTCCCTCTAGTCCTTATTATAAGAATCAACTAATTAACTCATATATACTAATAAAACTAGTTAAAAATATTAAATATGTCATAGAATTTAAATGATTTTTAATATTACTCTTATTAATTATACCAGATTAATTCGTATTCTCCACTAGATTAATTTGTATTCTCCACTGTACTCTCGTTACATATGAGCATATATGAAAAAGTTATTTAATACTCATTCAAAATATTAAAAGGTTTTATAAAATGATTAAGAATTTTCTAGAAGGACTTTATAATATGTACGATAGGGAGCATGTTAGTTAAAAGACCACAATAACCTAGGCCTATGTATCTATATATACATCTACGGCATTTATGGCTTCGTGCAACGGACGAAGCCTATATTAAAAACTGATTTAATTTACTGATTTGACCGCTATCCCCCCCCCCCGGGGGCCCCCACCCCAACCCAAAAAACAAAAAATGTATGATTCCAGTGTCTATTCTCTTTCTTTTAAGTGAGCTGCTTATATTAACCATTTTCAGCTGATAAGCTTCACATATTGTAAGTTTGTCAGATAGGAGTTTGATTTTAAGGTAAGCCATGACTGTTAGATAGACTTGCAGATATCGTGGCGCACGTGTTAGATTATGATTTACATATATATATATATATGTATATATGTATATGTATATATAGCAATGAAGTATTTTCATGCTTTCACTTTTTCTTCTTTCATTTGTTTCCTGCCCAAGTACCCATCAAGCTACCGAACTGTCAACTTTCCATGGAGAAAAGAAATTCTTGCATCGTCATGGTTCCATGTCCAGGGTTTAGTCATTTAATACCTCCGATTGAGTTTGCAAAACGACTCCCTCGCTTCCACTTCACTTTCCTCATCCCAACACTCGGTCCTCCCTCCCCATCTGCACTTTCCATCCTCCAATCTCTTCCACCGCACATAGACTTCACTATTCTTCAACACGTCGACCAAAATGACATCCCTCGAAACGCCCTGCCCCCAGCAACAAAAATGCATGAGACTGTAAAACTCTCTCTTCCGTCACTTCGTCAAGCTTTGAGCTTGTTGAGTTTCCATATTCAGCTCTTTGCTCTCATTGCCGATGTATTCTCAGTGGATGCCTTAGAGATTGCAAAGCAGTTCAACCTCAAATCATACGTTTACTTTCCCATGTCTGTTACTTCCTTGTGTTTCTGCCTCAAGTTTCCCGAACTTGATGAGGATCATGAGATGGTTTCTACTGGATTTGGAGACTTATCACAACCTTTGAAACTTCCAGGTTACCAATCTTCTTGTTCTTGTTTCTTTCTTTTCTTTTGCCTCTTTGATTCTTGTGAACTTTATTTCTGTGAACTGGTTGGGTAAATAAAAAATGTAAAATGAATGTTAAAGAGCTAATAATTACTTCATTCAGGTTGTGTACCATTAAATGGCAAGGATCTGTTTGACACAGTTCAAGAAAGATCAAGTGAATCCTACAAAACAGTTCTTTATATATGTAAGCGATTGCATTTAGCAGATGGTATGATAGTGAATAGCTTCCTAGATCTGGAACGAGGGGCAATAACATCACCACAAGAAAGTAATCATAAACACCCACCCATTTATCCAGTGGGGCCCATTTTGAAGACCGAGTCAACTACCATAAACGAGTCAACCTCAGAGTGTTTAAAATGGTTAGACAATCAGCAGAAGAACTCTGTTTTGTATGTCTCTTTTGGGAGTGGAGGAACACTAACACATGACCAGCTTCATGAGCTAGCCTTGGGGTTAGAAATGAGTGGCCACAAGTTCTTGTGGGTTGTGAGGGCTCCAAGCACGTCTACTAGTTCGGCTTATTTAAATTCACAAAGTGAGAATCCTCTTGACCATATGCCAAAAGGGTTCATTGAAAGAACCAAAGGCCAAGGCTTTGTGGTCCCATCATGGGCCCCACAAATCTAAATTTTGAGACACTGCTCTACCGGTGGGTTTTTGACTCATTGTGGTTGGAACTCCACATTAGAGAGTGTGCTCTATGGCAAGCCAATGATTGTTTGGCCATTATTTGCAGAGCAGAGAATGAATGCAGTGTTGCTAACTGAGAAGTTTAAGGTTGCTGTGTGGCCCAAATTTGATGAGAACAAGAATGGGATTATAGTGAAAGAGGAAGTTGCAAGGGTTGTGAAGTTGATAATAGAAGATGATCAGGAAGGCAACGAAACTCGTAGAAGAGTTCAAGTGTTTCAGGATGCTGCTACGAAAGCACTTGGTGAAGATGGTTCATCTGCTCGAGCAATCTCTAACTTAGCTCATGAGTTGAAATATATGGGTGACATGTAGAAAACTAATGACTTTTCACTAAAGTCACCCAAATTTCTATGCTTGCTATTGTGGTTTTTCCAAAAAAGGGGTATTTACTCCATTAGATATTGAACAATTTCATGTTTTTGATAGATGATAATAAAGTTAGAAAAGAGTTGTTTGGGTAAATTAAACAATTTATAAGGCTTCAGAAGACATCAAGACTAGATCATTGGCCACTCAAAACGGCAGAGGAAGAGATGTCCATATTTAACCATTAATTTTTCTCCTTCTTCAACCATTAATTCCCCCCCCCCCCACACACGGGAAGTGGTTAGATTTAATATTTTCCTATTTTTATTTTTTAAAATAATTATTTTTATGGGTATAGAATATAAAATAAAAATAATCTCTTAACTATCACTTTATTAAAAAATAATTTTATTTATTCAGACATAATTAATTAAAAAATCTCATATGGACTCTTCAAATTTAAACGGTCCTGCATGAGAGGATAAGCTTTGGATGCTCATCCTAAAGATGAGCACTCTAAATCAGTTCCTTTCACACCTATCTCCTATTCTCATGCGGTAATAATAGATCCTACGTAATTAGTTAATGTGCTATCATCATGGTGAATTTTCCTATATTCAAACAAAATCTAGGCTTGTTATAATACCAGATCCCATGACTAATATTAACATTCAGTTCGTTTTGCTATTTTATATGAGGCTAACAAATTATCCGTTCCCTCAAAACAAATTCCCAAAACTTCCAAAATGAGTTATTATTATCTATCACAAATACGACGTTTACCAATTCAACTCTCTTTATCTATTTTTGGCTTCCTTTGCCAAAAATATTCATACCCCTCTCTCTATATATACTTATGATACTCCATTCATCAATTCCACTGGTGATTGATTAATTAAAAAGCTCCCATACTCGAAGCAGAAAGATATGGAAAATTCAATAAAGCTGATGTTGTTTCTGTCTTTCTGCTTCGTTTCAAACCAAGCTTTGCTTGCAAATGCCTCTGTGCCAGCATTGTATGTGTTTGGTGATTCCCATCTTGATCCTGGAAACAACATGCATTTGAACACACCAGCAAAGCCTAATAGGTGGCCTTATGCAATTGATTTTCATAATATAAGGGGTCGTTTCACCAATGGAAGAAATATGGCTGACTTTATCGGTATGTTTCTTGATTAATTTGTGGTTTAAATACTTTTTCTTAGTTATAATTTGCCTCAACTTTGAATCAGATCCATGTAGTTTATTTTGTTTAAACCGGGCCTTCAATAGTATTTGTTTGTAATTGTTGCGAATTTCCTCTTAGTATTAATCCAAACATATATATAGTTGAAACTTGGCTTAAATAATAATTATTTCAATGTTTTTAACGTTTAATTGCATATATTATCCAAATAATAGAACACTTATGACGTTTGTATTTATCCATCCAGCATCTTACTTGGACTTACCATTTCCTCCTGCATACTTAAACCTCTCGGATACTGAAAGAAGTCAGACTACAACAGGAATATCTTATGCATCTGCATCATGCGGGATCTTAAACACAACTGGAGCGGTAAGAAATTAAATTGAAATGACTATTCTTATTTCATTACCAATTTTAATATTATATATCTATATAGTAAAGAACAGTTTCCTTGTAGATATTAGATCAAGTTCATAAGTAAATTTATAAGTGCACATATGCATTCAAACAACTAATCATAGTAAAATAACAAGTGTGATTGGGAAACTTGATCTAACAAATATGAGCAACTTGATCTAATTTTTGTTGTATATTAAATGTCTGTTAATAATGGAATTTTTTTTTGTTGAAGGGAGAATGCTTAACATTAGCAAAACAAGTAGGATGCTTCACATCAACTGTGAAAAATGATCTCCCACAAGCAATAAAGGATCAAGAGAAGTTGCAAGATCACTTGGCCAATTCCCTATACATTGTCTTTATTGGGAATAACGATTACCACGATGCTATGAGTCACAACGTCAGCAACAAATTCAGTCCGGACAAGTATGCAGATATCCTTCTTGATGAAGTCACAAAACATATCAAGGTAAACTAATTATAAGTTATCTTGATTTTTGCTTTATGTAAAATATTAGACTTTATTAAACTTTAATAACTTTTGTATTATTATGCAAACGGCAAAAGTGCACTTTAGTTCTCTAAATTTATACGAAGTTTAGTTTTAATTTATCCTCTTAATTTTAAAAATATATTTTCAGTCCTCTAATACTAACATTGTCAGTTTCCAGTGATATGTCAGCATAACTTAATATACCAGCATAATCTAATAATGCTTTTGTTAATATTTAAAATTTCAATGTCTGCATTTTTTGTTAATATTGTTAGGGTTAAAGGACTTAAAAGACACTTTATACATAAAATTAAGGGATCAAAATAAAAGTTTATTATGTGAAGTTTAAGGATTAAAGGTGCGCTTTTGCCTTATGCAAACATTGATGTTGTATACCTGTATCGTTAGATTCTAAGTTATTGTTTGTAAACAACATGACTCAAATTTCATTTGAATGTCTATTCACAGACGCTTTATGATCTGGGAGCAAGAAAATTTGTAGTTTCGGGCATTTCACGTTGCCAGCCTCATAATTATACAAAAGACTGCAAATCAAGATACTTCGCAGACAAACTTCCTCAAAGGTTGCAAGAGTTACGTTGTACACTCTCCGGTTCACTATTTACTGTATACGATGTCGTCAATGTGTACAAAAAGATCACTGATAATCCACAAAAATATGGTAAGCATAGTTATTTTACTTAAGGCTTTCTATCATTTTTAATCTCTAAAATTTTATCTCCTTTCAGTTTTAGTCCCTAAAATTTGAAACCAGTGGTTTTGGTCCTTGAAACCAGAAGCCGAAAATCATTAGGCAGATCAAAATGAAGTCAAATTTCAAGAATCAAAACTATTGGTTTTATGTTCTATGAACTGAAATCAAAATGAGATCAAATTTTAGCAACTAAAGATTATGTTAACCCTTTATTTTAGATGCTGAACTCCTTTTCCAATATAAAATACTCTTCTTTGAATTGTTTCACAGGGTTCACAAACATTCAGGATCCTTGTTACCCGGAAGGTCGATCTCTCTGTAAAGATAGGAAAAAGTATCTCAGATTTGATCAATACAGTCATGAAACTGAAGCCGCATATGAGATTGCTTCAAAGGATTGCTTCTATGGACAAGCTTGTTCTCCTTACAGTATTTTGGAGCTAGCCAAGGCACCAATCATCAGTCACCACTAATAAATCGAGATTGTAACAATGTGATTCAACATTATTGAAAGTGTTCTTTTCGATTTTTCAGCTGGTTTGAAATGTGAATGCAATTTTCTGAAGTTTCTGAATTTTTTTTCAAATTATGCGTATATTATAAGTTAAGAGTTCATGAAATTCATGGAGAAGCATTACGAAAGGAAAAGTAGAATTATACATTAGATAACAAGATATATAACATGATATGTTCTATTAAAAAGAGTTCCGACTAAATCAATTATAATAATCGTAAGTTTTAGTGGTCCACTATCAACCAGAGAGTTGAATTTTACACGAATACAACTCATGAATTCATGAAAAGATATCAAATTAGTTTGTCTAGTTTCGTAAAAAAAAAAAAAATTGGCTCATAATCTATAAGGTTGTGAGATTAAATCCCTATACTAATGTGAAAATCTTGTTGATGAGTTATTTGTAAGTATATATTGTAATATCTTGAATTTTAAGGTGTTAAAAGAATCAGGGAGAATGATAAAGAAATAATTATTAAAATTATTTAAGGCCTAAGAAAATTAGGGAAAATTTATGAATATTAATTTTGAGAGTTTAGGAAATGATATGGTTAATTTCTCCAAAAATTGGCTTACACAATTTGAACAATAATTTTGGGAGTTAGAAGGACCTATTTTCTTGGAAAAATTTAGTAAAAAAATAGTTAGGAGATCATTTTTGACCCGAAATTTATGTGGAAATTATTTTAAAGGTCACAAAAGCTATTGGATAAGGAAAATACATATAAAATGCTATGGATTAATTTTTGGATCCACTCCTTAATTTCAGGAGAATAAGAAATAAGAAATAATTAAAGGCAAAATGGTCCATTACCTCATGTGCACAGCCCACACGTGTTGCCCCATGCTTATAACCATCAGAATTCATTTCCCTTCCCCATTTCATTACTGCTCGAGTCTTAAAACAGAGAGAGAGACCAGAGGAAAACGAGAGCTCGACGAAGAAGTGCCGGAGGTGGTAATCGGAGGTATTTGGGTCACATGCAAACCGATTAATCTTGCAAGGTGAGCCTCTTGGTCATTGTCCTACCCTTTTCTTTTCCGTTTTCGGCGTCGTTTGGCTGTAATGGAGGAGAGAGAGTGTTGGGTGGTGAGAGAAAGTGAAGGAAAAAGAGGAGGACCAGTGAATTCATTTTATATGGCAAGATTGAAGTATATGATACTGGTTTTTAAGCTTGCATGTCACTATTGCCTCTGTTTCATGAATCTTCGAATAGAGCATGTCATTTCTGGGTTGATAGGTATCGGGTTTGAGGTATTAGGAGAGAGGAAATGTGTATCATATGAATATGAAGTTGCACATTGATCTTATCCTTCATTTAGTGGATCTGCTAATGGTTGGGAGTAGGATCTGAATTTTCTCTCCCTTGTGCGTGCTGTTATTGCTGTTGAGGGAGATTAGGGAATGAATTAGAAGGCAATATCTGTATAAATATATACATATATTTGTTAGTTGCTGTAAATGAAGGTATAGGTTCAACCGAAAAGAAATGATATATATATATATATATATATATATAAAAGTTATGCATGTGTATTGTTGCTGTCAAGAGAGGCTGAATTGGTTCATGAAATATTAAAATAGTGAGGTTGGTTGGATGTATTTGGGTTTCTGGTTTATGACTCTCAAGCAAGAATTTATATTTATGAAAGAATGAGTTTTGGCTTCTAAACATGGGAACTGAAATTTTGGAATGTTAGGAAGAACTTGAAGTGATTAAATTTTGAATTAAGGATGTTTTAAGTTATATGTAGAAGCAGTAAAATGATGATTTAATTATTGTTCTAAGGTGGAAAATTTCCAGATTTGAGTGAGGAGCTGAATAGAGAAATTATATTTGAGTTTCATGGGGATTGTCGTTGAAAGATGGGTGATTAAATCCTATTAAATATGTGTGTGTGAATCTGGAAAATTTCCAGGTTTGGAGTAAAAGTTATGTGTGGTGGAGGAAGTTACATATATACATATATGTGTGTGTATGTGTGTATATACATATGTAACTATATTTGCTGATCGAATTGGGGGATTTGAATCTGGTGACAGAGTTTTGAAATATGAAACTGAAGCTATATCTATATATATATATATATATATATATATATATATGGGTATATGCTTGGCGTTGAATTTGAAGTAAGGGAAACTATATATATCTATATATGAGTGTGTAAGATTAGGAAATCTGAAACTTTATTAAAATTGTTGATTGATGCTCTCTTAGATCAAGTGATTGTCCAAGTTATTTAGACCATGTTAGAGACCGAAAATGAAGATTTGGAGGATTAAATATGAATAGGTCTTATAGGTTGTTGTAATTATTAAGGAATTTATTTGAGGTTCCAGGAAATTTTTGAAATTTTTTAAGATAGAATTGTAAATGATAAATTAAGGAATTGTGGCGGAATGAATTGGAAGGTGTATCTTAAATCTGGAAATTGATTGAGAGATCCTGTTTATAGAGTTAGAAGATTCAGCTATTAATGATTTTGTACTTGTGTAGAATTATGTTAAATAAATGTATGGTTTCATAAAAGTGGATAACGTGGAATTTCCAGATTTAACGAAGATGGAAGAGGGAGAAATATGTGTACATATATATGTGTGTGCGTGTATTCTGAAAGTTTTTAAGAGGGAAATAAAGATGAGTCGAAGTAAGGAAGGAAACATTTCAAAGAGAATAGTTTGTGTAAAAAATATTATCCAGGATGACCAACTATTAAATAAAAGGAATAGAGTTTATTAATGGCTTAAGAGAAGTTATGTTTTGATAATAAAAGTTAAATGGACTAAGTATTGACCATTTTATATATGAAACCATATTATAGGATTTGATATCTGCCTGAGCCTACCAAGAAAGCAAGTAAAGAAGAAATCTGGACAAGGTAAATAGGAAGAAGGACCTCCGGGTAGTGACTCTTTTCCTCATATACTTAAGTAATAGTTCTGCATGTCTATTTGTGTCATAGTGCCTATATTCTTTAATGAATATATGGTGGATATGTTCTTTGACGAACAATTGTGAGCTTGTAGAGCTGCCCTAGGCATGAGTGCATGAAAGTTGCTTTGCATTGACCTCATAGAGCCATACTTAGATATGAGTATGTGGAATTTGCTTTGCGTTGAGCTTATAGAGCTATACTCTGGTTTGAGTATGTGGAATTTTTTTTGCATTGAACTCGTAGAGCTATACTCAATCATAAGTATGTGATGTTGATTTAATTGCCATGGCCTTGAGTGTTGCAAAGTGTGGGTTGCATGAGCATCGTTGATTATATTTGTCTGCAAAGCTTATGATGTTTGAACTTTGCTGTTTATGCTTGCATGTAAGTGTTGTGAACATGGCTTGTTTTGCATGCATTTATGAGCTTTATATAGTTGTATGATGGACTGCTGTCACTATTGAGATTCTAGAATCTCACCCTTTTCTTTCATGACATATAGTGAAGGCAGGTGGCTCGAAGGGCAAATGTGTGGTAATTAAAGGAAGTTGAAAAAGTTGGGAGCAGATGTGAACAAGATAGTTAGTGATTTATGTAGTCTTTTGCTGTTTATACTTAGAGCTTTTATTAAGCCATGTATGGCCGTATGTATTTTGTGTATATTTATATTTCTATGTGATTATGTAAGGTAATTATAGGGTGTAATTAGCTCTGTAAAGAGGAAAGTTTTGGCTCCCGTAACCGTCAGTTAATTGCCATATGCTCTGGTGGTTCTATGTTAGTAGATAGATATAGATATATATATATATATCACCAATGAGGGAAGGCTTGATAATATTAGTTTAGCTAAAGGTAGCTTTATTGATGTTAAAGTTAGGGTTTAAATGGATGTCTAAACTACTAAATAGGACATTTTGCAAGTTCTTTCAAAAGTTTAAAATTTTTCAGAAAATCCTATCCCTTATAAAGGATCGAACCTTGCGATTAGGTGAAGGCATAATAAAGAGTTTAGTAGAGGTATTTTTATTTTTCCAAGATCAAACCTAGCTTAGTAGTTCGAAGTAAATTTTATAGCCCTTGGTTTAATTAAAGTAGGTGTTTTTTTAACAAATAATTAAAGTATGAGAAAGTTTGATCCGAAAAGATGATATATTTCTCTTATGCAAGGTGCACATATATACAAGACGTGAACAGTGCATGAATAGTGCAGCAACGTGGTCACATCATTCTAGATCCCACATTATCTCCTATATCAACAGCAACTAATAAATGAATGATTCTATCAGTTATTTACAAATCTCTACATATCTAATATTATAATATCTTTGATATGTTTTGATCTCTAACACTCCTCCTCAAGTTGGTGCATGTAGATTTGTAATGCCCAACTTGCTTGTGAGCATTTCAAGTCTATCCTTTCCAATAGCTTTTGTAAACATATCTGCCAGTTGGTCTTGTGTCCAAATCTTGTGTGGCATGACCTCCCCAGACTGGTATCTTTCTCTTACAAAATAGCAGTCCATCTCAACATGCTTCATTCACTCATGAAAGAAGGGTTCATGGCTATATGTATTACCGCCTGGTTATCACAATAAAGTGAAGTTTCTCTTTTTTATGGTGCCCTCAATTCTGTGAGTAGCCACCTCAACCAAATCACTTCACTTATAGCATGTGCCGTTACCTGGTATTTCGCCTCTACTAATGATCTAGCCACAACATTTTGTTTCTTTGTCCTGCACGACACTGGTGATCCTCCTTAAGTCATGAAGCACCCACTACAAGAACGACATGTCTTGGAGCAATCGGCCCAGTCTGCATCGCAGTATGCCTCTAGCTCCAAGTGACCCTCTGCTTAGAGCACTATGCCTTATCTGGGTGTGCTCTTCAAATAACGTAATATTCTCTCCACTGCCACCATGTGTGGGTGTTTTGGTGAAGATGTATACTGACTCAATATGTTGACAACACATACTATGTGTAAAACCCTTAACCTCAAAACATCATAACTCGTCATAAGAC